TTGTAAGAGGACGAATCGAATCTTCACGTGAACTTGTATATGAACTTTTGTTTCAGAAATTTTGAGTATTTCTCTTCTAAATTTGGTTATTTTATTTCACTTTGAATTATTACATCTTTCAAATTGATAAAACTATGGTAAATTATTTAATTTTAAAACCAAGTAAATCGTCCAAGTTCCAACAAATTTTACGGAATACATTAATTATAAAACAAAGATATTCTCTATGGCTAAAATAATCATCAAACGACGAATGTGTTTTGTTCTTCAAAATAATTGAGTCGATAAAATTCAAACAAAAGAATATGAAAACGTATTAAAAAAAATTCAACGTTGGAAGATAATCTAATAATATTTCATATTCCCCACGAATCACTACTTTTCAAACAAACAACTTAGCACGTCCTCTAATATGTTTGGAAGTGCCACACACGAACCCAAGTTGAGAAGATAATATAATATTTACACACAACTAAAGACTATATAAAGGATGTATATGTTCATGTTCAAGTATATCATAACCAAAACAAAGAAATCAAAAGAGCAGGGATGAGATCTTCAAGAACGATGGGGTTAGGGTATTTCTTGGTTTATTTCATGGTCCTAAGTGCCATTGCGGCTACAGTGACATCATACTCTTACTTATCCCCTCAAACCCCCAATTCTCCACCACCACCATATGTCTACAACTCTCCATCTCCACCGTACTACTTTCTTTCTCCAAAGATTGACTACAAGTCTTCACCACCACCACCGTATGTTTACATTTACCCACCTCCACCGTACTACTCTCCTTCTCCAAAGATTAAGTCTTCACCACCACCATACGTCTACAGCTCATCACCTCCTCCGTACTACTCTCCTTCCCTAAAAATTGACTACAATTCTCCACCACTACCACACGTCTACAGCTCCCCACCACCATTGTACTACTCTCCTTCTCCAAAACTTCACTACAAGTCTCCACCATCACCATACGTCTACAACTCCCCACCTCCACCGTACTACTCTCCTTCTCCAAAGGTTGACTACAAGTCTCCACCACCATCGTACGTCTACAGCTCACCACCACCACCATACTACTTTCCTTCTCCAAAGGTAGACTACAAGTCTCCACCACCACCATACATCTACAGCTCCCCACCTCCACCATACTACTCTCCATCTCCAAAGGTTGACTACAAGTCTCCACCACCACCTTACGTCTACAGCTCCTCACCACCTTACTACTCTCCTTCTCCAAAGGTTAACTACAAGTCTCCAACACCACCATACGTCTATAGCTCCCCACCATCACCGTACTACTCTCTTTCTCCGAAGGATGACTACAAGTCTCCACCACCACCTTACGTCTACAGCTCCCCACCACCACCTTACTACTCTCCTTCTCCAAAGGTTTATTACAAGTCCCCACCACTTCCATACGTCTACAGCTCCCCACCTCCACCATACTACTCTCCTTTGCCAAAGGTTGATTACAAGTCCCCACCACTCCCAGACGTCTACAGCTCTCCACCTCCACCATACTACTCTCCTTCTCCAAATGTTGACTACAAGTCTCCACCACCACCTAACGTCTACAGCTCCTCACCACCACCTTACTACTCTCCTTCTCCAAAGGTTAACTACAAGTTTCCACCACCACCTTACGTCTATAACTCCCCACCACCACCGTACTACTCTCCTTCCACGAAGGATGACTACAAGTCTCCACCACCACCATACGTCTACAGCTCCCCACCTCCTCCATACTACTCTCCTTCTCCAAAGGTTGATTACAAGTCCCCACCACTTCCATACGTCTACAGCTCCCCACCTCCTCCATACTACTCTCCTTTGCCAAAGGTTGATTACAAGTCCCCACCACTCCGAGACGTCTACAGCTCCCCACCTCCACCATACTACTCACCTTCGCCTACGACCACTTACAAATCTCCTCCACCACCATATGTGTACAACTCCCCACCTCCACCATACTACTCTCCTTCTCCAAAGATTGACTACAAGTCCCCACCACCATTGTATGTCTACAGCTCCCCACCACCTCCATACTATGCTCCTTCCCCAAAGGCTGACTACAAGTCTCCACCACCACCGTACGTTTACAGGTCCCCACCTCCTCCTTACTACTCTCCTTCCCCAAAGGCTGACTACAAGTCTCCACCACCACCGTACGTTTACAGCTCCCCACCTCCTCCTTACTACTCTCCTTCTCCAAAGGTTGAGTACAAGTCTCCACCACCACCATACATGTACAGCTCCCCACCTCCACCATACTACTCTCCTTCTCCAAAGGTTGACTACAAGTCCCCACCACCACCGTATGTCTACAGCTTCCCACCACCACCATACTATACCCCTTCCCCAAAGGTTGACTACAAGTCTCCACCACCACCGTACATTTACAGCTCCCCACCTCCTCCATACTACTCTCCTTCTCCAAAGGTTGAGTACAAGTCTCCACCACCACCATACATGTACAGCTCCCCACCTCCACCATACTACTCTCCTTCTCCAAAGGTTGACTACAAGTCCCCACCACCACCGTATGTCTACAGCTTCCCACCACCACCATACTATACCCCTTCCCCAAAGGTTGACTACAAGTCTCCACCACCACCGTACATTTACAGCTCCCCACCTCCTCCATACTACTCTCCTTTGCCAAAGGTTGATTACAAGTCCCCACCACTCCGAGACGTCTACAGCTCCCCACCTCCACCATACTACTCACCTTCCCCTACGACCACTTACAAATCTCCTCCACCACCATATGTGTACAACTCCCCACCTCCACCATACTACTCTCCTTCTCCAAAGATTGACTACAAGTCCCCACCACCATTGTATGTCTACAGCTCCCCACCACCTCCATACTATGCTCCTTCCCCAAAGGCTGACTACAAGTCTCCACCACCACCGTACGTTTACAGGTCCCCACCTCCTCCTTACTACTCTCCTTCCCCAAAGGCTGACTACAAGTCTCCACCACCACCGTAGGTTTACAGCTCCCCACCTCCTCCTTACTACTCTCCTTCTCCAAAGGTTGAGTACAAGTCTCCACCACCACCATACATGTACAGCTCCCCACCTCCACCATACTACTCTCCTTCTCCAAAGGTTGACTACAAGTCCCCACCACCACCGTATGTCTACAGCTTCCCACCACCACCATACTATACCCCTTCCCCAAAGGTTGACTACAAGTCTCCACCACCACCGTACATTTACAGCTCCCCACCTCCTCCATACTACTCTCCTTCTCCAAATGTTGAGTACAAGTCTCCACCACCACCATACGTGTACAGCTCCCCACCTCCACCATACTACTCTCCTTCGCCTACGACCACTTACAAATCTCCTCCACCACCATATGTTTACAACTTCCCACCTCCACCATACTACTCTCCTTCTCCAAAGATTGACTACAAGTCCCCACCACCATTGTATGTCTACAGCTCCCCACCACCTCCATACTATACTCCTTCCCCAAAGGCTGACTACAAGTCTCCACCACCACCGTACGTTTACAGCTCCCCACCTCCTCCTTACTACTCTCCTTCTCCAAAGATTGAGTACAAGTCTCCACCACCACCATACGTGTACAGCACCCCACCTCCTCCATACTACTCTCCTTTTCCAAAGGTTGAGTACAACTCTCCACCACCATCTTACGTCTACAAGACGCCCTACTATTGATATTGAATTATTTCATTAACAAGAACCATGATTGCATTAATTTCATTTTATAATTTTTTTCTCTTGATTCTTCAGATTTTGCTCTTTTGTTCAACTTGTTAAGCTTTATATTTGACCAATCAAATTTGGCTATCTTTTATATGAACTTCTTGTTTATATTTTGTTCGAATTGGCTCGAAATTTCTAATATATATTTTTCGCTATCCAATGATTAAAAATATTTTGGTCAGGATATATAGCTAGTTTATATGAGAAAACCATTTAGAACTTATGTATATAGTTTCTTTCGTTATTTTCTCGATTCCTCGTCTTCTCACTTATAATACATAAATAAAATACATGAAAAGTGAAGATGGCCAGAAGAGGAAGAATTAATTAGTCAGTCACCGGACTGGCAGCGTAAGCAGTTGCAGAGGAAGCCAAACCCTTGAGAGAGTATTGTTTGTTGCGGTTCATATCCCATGCTTGCATATATATAACATATCCGAAGCTCTTCACCTGAAAATATGCATGCAGTGATACCATTGAAGTGAAATGCACACAAGATTCAAGTGAAATGCTAATTTGAAATCTGTTTTAAGTATTATAAGACCAAACCTTCTTCGACATCGCATAGAATGTATAACCTTGCATCTACATTCTGGAACCTTATTATGTGCGCATTGGGATCTGTGGACATTCACACTAAGCATCACTCTATTGTTCACAAAATAGGTGAATTTATTTGTGTGGCGTGTAATACAATTTTGTAACGGCATAATAGATATGACCCATCTATAATTAGAAAAAATCCAGGCAAATTACAAACAACAAACCAAAAAAAAAAATCGACATAACAACCTTGGAATTAGTCTCTTTTTTTTCTCTTACAATTTCATTTAACAATTGCAATTACAACGTATATTTTCAAAAATTTGGGAAAGATTGGTAATAGCAAGAACTACTTTTTAAAAATATATATTTATTTTGTATATAAGTGTTTGGTCGGATTTTGCATCCTCCGGGGGGTTAAAACAATTTTTGGCTTGGAATAGCCAGCAAGCACAAGGTGAGAGACTCGTCCATTAGAGAGTGAACATGTAACTTAATCCAAGTGCTCTTCTCGAGTAGTTGCCATCGTGCTTGGACTACCTACCTTTGTATATACCTCCGAAAGGAGTTCAAGAGAAAAATAACTTAAACGTAAACCCTTAGACTTAAGTTAGCTCTTAACTAATCAGACAAGTAAGAAGACGTGTTGTGACTAATTGTTACAAAGCGCACAACGAATGCTGAAAAAAAATAGCATTACCTAACGCAGTGAAATCCTCTGCAACAACTTCCACATGATAATTTCATTCTCTTATATCTTCATGTAAAAGCCACCATAATGGGCAAATCAATCATCCATGAAAAACTTGAACCTAAAAGAATAAAGTGAAATGAACCAAACGATACACAGAGTTTCACCAATATCCTTGACCATGTCAGAGCTGACGACGCTTCTCAGCTCAGGTGGTTCTGTCTTTGAGATCTTTGCCGGTTTGCTAGTATTGCATCTGGTCTACCAAAGAATTAGAGCAAGCGTCAAAGTTTACTTACTTGATTTCACTTGTTACCGAGCACCTGACTCAAACCGCGTCCCAATGTCAACTCTTATCGAAACCATCTACCTCGATGACAAGCTTGATCAAGAGAGTATTGACTTCCAAGCCCGGATTCTTGAGAGGTCCTGGTTAAGTAACCAAACCAGCATTCCTCCTTCCTTGATGGAAATACCCCTCAAGAAATCTCTTTCCTCGGTCAAAATCGAGACCATGACCACTATCTTCACCTCTGTTGAGGATCTCCTGAAGAAAAACAAACTAAGCCCAAGAAGCATAGACATACTGATAACAAACTGTAGTTTGCATTCGCCTTCACCGTCTCTAAGTGCAATGGTGATCAACAAATTCCATATGAGAAGCAATATCAAGAGCTTTAACCTGTCCGGGATGGGTTGTGCGGCTGGGATTCTATCAGTAGGTTTGGCTAATGACTTGCTAAAGGTTCACCGAGGCTCCTTGGCTCTTATTGTAAGCACTGAAGCGCTGAACACACATTGGTACATTGGCAAAGACAGATCTATGCTTCTTACCAACTGTCTCTTCCGAATGGGAGCAGCTGCAGTATTGATGTCGAGCAATGATCATGACAGAGACAATGCAAAGTATGAGCTCTTGCATGTTGTCAGGAAAAATAAAGCCAAAGATGATCGAGCTTACCGATGTATCTATCAAGACATAGACTCTGATGAAAAGCAAGGGGTGTCGATAACCAAAGATGTAATCAGCGTTGCTGGAGATATGCTGAAGATGAATCTAACTTCTCTGGGACCTTTGGTATTACCTTACCTAGAGCAATTCCAATATGTGATACGACAGATTCTTTGCAAGAAACTAAAGATCTATGAGTCGAGTTCTTCTTATACACCAAACTTCAAGACAGCGTTTGAGCATTTCTGCATTCATACAGGAGGAAGAGCTGTTATTCAAGCAATGGAGATGAACCTGAACTTGACAAAAGTAGACATCGAGCCATCAAAGATGACTCTTCATAGGTTTGGGAATACTTCTTCGTCATCCATTTGGTACGCTCTCTCTTACTTGGAAGCAAAAAGGAGAATGAAAAAAGGCGATAGGGTCTTGCAGATTGCATTTGGAAGTGGGTTCAAGTGTAACAGTGCGGTGTGGAGATGCATCCGAGAAGTGGAGCCCAATACAGAAAACAAATGGCTCGACTTTATCGACTCATATCCTGTAGACGTACCTGACTCTACGAATATCAGAACAGGCTAGCACGAGCAAGTAAAAATCCTTGAAGATAGAACTCAGGAGGGTTGTGAGTTATTAGTTCAATTCATTCACAATCTACACAAAGACCACTTTCACAGGTTTTGGAATGTTGTTTGGTCTCATTTTCACCCTCTAAGACAGAGAAATTTGATATTTTACTTTTCACATGATCCATGTTTATAATCTAGATGAAACAATAGCATTTGAATTTTTGACATAATACATGACCACGAACCGAGAAATATTGAACCAAAAAGTTGTAACCGTAAAGCAAATATATCTACCATGACCACCGATTTCCACTAAAATAATCAGTAGAGCTAGATCTGATTGAAACAAATCAAAGCCTTGTTGTCATATTAACAAGTAATAGAATGCTGCATCTTCTAAAGAGAATTGTTGGACTCAACTTTTTTTTCTTTAACCATACAATATGAGTATAGCAACAGGGTACCTCTGTTGTCATCTTTTTTGTTCTCAATATTCTCCTAGGAATTATCATCTCCAACTCTATATGCAACAAACAAAAGAGATTATAGCTACCCTCCTTGCATACATTACTGTTTATACGGTCAGCCCAAGAACCTCTGGAACATCAAAATCTGGCAGGTCTTCAGCGAATGTTGGACAGTTTTGAACTGGTATCATATCGGTATTTGCCTGTGTTGTGTCAAACAAAAAAAGTATTTAACATCAATCATTGTTGTGTGACCATAAGAAAACCTAACACTAGCATTTGCCATAAAATCTGTATGGGTTCTACGTTTTGTATGGGGGACATAGAGGTTCTATGTTTAAGGCTATGTTAAACATTTTCACTTATCAATAAGGCTTCACATGTTAAGATCTTAAAGATTGGTCAATACGCCTTCTAATTGTGGAGGAGCTTAGTAAACATGATATGTGGGGATCACAAGTATGAAGTAAATGACAGAATCCAAAACATAAATGGGGAGGGAAAGTAAAAGCTGTTACCTGTCAACAAATCCACGATCATGAAGTTCGTTGCAGTGAGGGGTTGGTATCTTCTTGTTCCACCTCCGTTTTTGGAGCTCAATACGACAAGACTGGAAAAGAAAGTGTCTGTACTCTTTGATCACGTTGCCCTCAAGGTTGGCTCGAGCAGAGCTACCAAGCGGAAACTTCTCATCAAAGGCTGATGCTGATCTAACATAAAAGCTAATCTCCATATTCTGCGTCGTCTTTGGTATCTGATAAGACTGGTTCTTGTGCAGAGAATAGTCGGGCTCAGAAAAGGGTAGATAAGCCAGTAACAAAAGCAGAAAGAATGGTAGAATCTGAATAATCGTCAAACAGCTTGGTCCAGCCACATTAGGCTCCTCCTCTCGGAATTGGTTACGTGCTTGTCTAGTCCTATAAGCACGAGAATCACGGAACATATCTCGTTGTTGACCAAAAAACGCCCTGAATATCTCATCAGGATCAAACTCATCATCAAAGAAATCATTCCGCGTGTTATATCTCCTCCTCGGCCTACGACTCCGCCTCTGAACATGATCAAACTCATCAACAATCCCCACCTGATCATACTGGCTTCTCGAGTTACCATCACTCAAACAAGTAAACGCTTTCGAAACTTTCTTAAACGCCTCCTCTGAACCAGGAGCCTTGTTCTTATCTGGATGAACTTTCAAAGACAACTTCCTATAAGCTTTTCTAATCTCTTCAACCGAACAATTCTTTTCCAAACCCAAAATCGCATAATAATCATTGTTCCTCTTAATATTCCTAACCAACTCCACATTTTCCTCAGTATACTTGATTTTCCCAGTCTCAAGCTTATCATCATCATCACCATCCACAGTTTTAAGCTTCTCACTAACAGACGAATTCCTCGAAATTGAATCCAGATTGTCACAAGCAGCAATAAGTTCATCAATAGAGAGACTTGGATTAAGCCGTTTCGCCATATTGATAAATTTCAACGCTCGTTCTTTATCACCAGAAGCAATGGCGTCTTCGGCGATTCTCAAACAACGAGACGCATCATCCTTATTACCATCCATAACTATTCAAATCCCTAATTCTTCTACACTTCGATTTCACAACCTTACACGAATTCAACAACAAAAGAGGCTAAATCAGAACTGTTCTATAAACCCTAAGCAAATCGAAATCGAGCTTCAATTTTGAAATTCCGCGTACTAATATAGAAAGTGGAAGATTTAGGAAAAGTACCAATTCATACGACGAGAGTTCTCGTCGCCATGGTTGAGAGTTTTGTCGTCGTAGGTGGTGATGAGCCAGGAGAGAGCTAAAATTTTGAGTCTAATTAATCCATTTTAATGTTAAACCTAACGTTAATCAAATATTAACACTACTACTTAACACTACTACTAATCCATTTTAGAGTTTTCACGCGTACTATAAAAACATTCAATTTTTCTATTTTATCCCTAATTAATATATATTTTATTTGATATCGTTAATAAATAAGTTTAAAGAGTAAGGATAAAATTGGAAAATTTGTCAAACCTCTACACTGAAAACAAAAAGCGACAACTAATTTAAAATAAAATTTAACTTCTAGAACGACAACTAATTTTAAACGGAAGGAGTACTATTTAAGGGATGGTTAAGAAATAGTGTAAGCAATCAAACAATTGCGTTTTCGAATGCTAAAAGTTACCGAATTCGACTGAGGTAAACGCTATAGTCTTATCAATAGAAAGAAGAGAAATCGAAGAAATAAGACTATTTGAGAGAGTAAAAGTGATTAGAAATTTTTTAAAACTTGTATGGCTTTTTTTTTATTATTCACAACCTTATACCGGTATACTTTTTTATCCTTACTGAGAAAATTTATTTTATTTTTAAAATCAATGGATGTAAGATTGACAAAGTTTAATGTTAGGTTTAGAAATATACTTCTAGATTAATATTTGTACGATAGTAATGGATGAATTATTGAATTAAGAGTTTGATTGGTTCTTCCTCTTTCACCTGGAAATATTGTGGTTGCTATCGTTTAAAACCAATCATAGAAATCGTTTTCAACCTTTCGGAATCGCTTTAACCCGCTTGAAATCTCTTTGTACCGCTCGAAATTACTAAATTTCAAAAGCTTTTTTCCGCAAGCATTTGCGGTTGCGGACGATAGCATGTGACCAAAAAATATCACATGAACAATAAATAATTAAATAAAATATTATCAAATCATATATATGTTAACGTTAATTACCAAAACCCTAATTTTGTTTCTCTCCATCAAAATCATAGCGTCAAGCCAAACTGAAGAAAAGCAAGATACAAATGTAAGTATTATAAAAATACTGTTTTTTTTTTTTTGGTGAAATTATAAAAATACTGTTAATCTAGAAGATTTACGAATTCAAACACATTTTTTTGTAGGTCTTCACATTACTTAGTGCAATTTTTGGTGATGAACCAAATGCACGAAGTAATAAGCATTTCACTATGAAATTTATTTGTTTTTGAATAATTATGTAGTACTTTATTTTTGGTATTTATTATTAATTATGAATGAAACAAATTATATTTTATCATAATAATATAACTAGATTTTAACCTGCGGTATATTGCAGAACGATTTGTTTTTTTAAATTAATAATTTTTTCAATTTAGTGGTTATATATTATATAAAAAGTTGCAAATTATATAATTTTATAAGACATTTATATTTTATAATTTACAATTATTAAATAACGGTATACCACAAAATAGTTTTTGTTTTATATAATTTTATTTTAATTAGGATCATTCGATATGTCTAATATTTGTGGTGTTAAAAAATAATAAAAGGAAGATTTAACCCGTATTAAAGCAGCGGGTTAACGATGTTTAAATTTTTTTGATTCAAACCCGTCCGGTCATATAACCATTTCCTGCAATATAATCGTCTCGTGTTATTTTAACTCTTTATATATGTTCAAATGTTCTTAATATTATAAAAATTTTATTGATTTTAAATATATAAATTATAATATTTAAAACTTCTTAAAAACTCGTCACGCCATATAACCCCGTCTCGCAATATAACATGTCTCGTGTTATTGTAATTCTTTATATGTGTTCAAATGTTCATAATATTATAAATTTTTATTGATTTTAAATATATGAATTATATTATTTAAAACTTCTTAAAAGTCTAAAATTAAATATTTTCGGTAAAATTAAGCAGTTCAATTAAAAATTGAATTAAATGATATACAAACTTTTAAATTTGTCACGCCATATAACCCCGTCTCGCAATATAACACGTCTCGTGTTATTGTAATTCTTTATATGTGTTCAAATGTTCATAATATTATAAATTTTTTTTGATTTTAAATATATGAATTATATTATTTAAAACTTCTTAAAAGTCTAAAATTAAATATTTTCGGTAAAATTAAGCAGTTCAATTAAAAATCGAATTAAATGATATACAAACTTTTAAATTTGGGTGTTTGTTAAGTTAAGCTTCCTATTCATTCGGATTTGAATTCATTTTGATCTTAGGGCTATATTAATTAAAATACATAGACGATTGAAAAACCCAAAATTAACCATGATTATTTTTTATTAGTTCTCTCTCTTTTGACTCAATTAATACAAAAATTACCCTTTATTATATGTGCGCGCTAACAAAAATAATAACGAGGTAAAAAGTTTAGATCTAACATAAACGGAAAACACTGTTCACATATCGTCGAAAACAATATTCATCACCAGAGACAATAAAAAAACAATGATTTGTGATTAACTAACAGTGTAACTAAAATTGTATCGCGATAAATGTATAAGTTATGTGATAAACACATATTTATCGTGTTAAATCATTTATTATCTGATTGATTAGCAATATAAATCATATTGTATCACGATAAATTTACAAGTTATATGATAAACTTATATTTATCGTGTCAAATTATTTATTATATGATAGGTATCAACTAACTTATATATTAACTTCAATAATTTATTTATTACCGCTAATTTACATATTAGTATATTTATTTATTATAATAATTTATTTATTAGGGTTAACCTTTTTATTATCAAAAAAGAAAACTTCTTTTCTCGAATATTCTCCCCTGTCTTCACGTCTCTGGAATCTTCTTCCTCCTCCATTGTTACCTGCAACTCTAATCCCAATTTCACCTTCCCACCTTCTCTTCTTCTCCTTTTCCCACCTCTTTGTCCCCTTCCATCTTCACCTAAATTACAAAAACATATTTTACATCCCCAAATTCTTCAATTGAAAAGTTTAATCCATCCCAAACTCATGTAAATTAATTATTTCCTTTTCTTTCCTTGCCTTTGTATCTCTGTTTCAAGCTCTTTGTTTTTGTGAATTATGTGGTGATGATTGATTGATTGTGTGTTGCGTATATAAGCGATGGAAGTGACGAGGCAAATGCAAAGTTAGATATAGAATTTGTTTGTGAAGAAATGGAGATGACGATGAAGAAAGAGAAGGATTTAGAGGAGAGACTGTGATCGGAGATAACGTCGGAACACCCACCATAAATAATGTCAAAGAAAATTCATGGAGGATGAAATGAGAAGAGAAACAATTAGATGAATAAAAAAGGGTAAAAATGTCAAAATAACATTCTCTCTCTTGTCTATTTAATCATATATATAAAAGTAGGGTTTCAATCTCTTGTGATTGGTCCACTTGTCATTTTTATTTTAAAAATAATTCAAAATTTTAAACCATTAAATCTTATAATTAAATCCTATTAAATCTTATAATTAAATCCTATGCATTACGTTTATTTTCAGAATCACTTAAATCAAATATTAAATGTATGTTTAGAGACAAATATTTATTGCATTAATATAGGGATTACGTTTGTATAAGGAAAAGTCAAAGACTCCAAATAATTATAGCATTAATTTAGGGTTACGTACTTACGTTTGTATAAGGAAAAGTTCATGACTCCAAATATGGAATTCATGGTCGTCAGCATTAATGGTCGTCATCATCATGATAATTGAAAGTGAAACGTCTTATACTTTTTTTTTTTTTTCTCAAACACCATTTTCATTAAGATATCGGGAAGAGACTTTCCGCTGGGGAGAGTCATTCAGGAACCGACGAACTTACATGGGAAAATAGACTACAACGAGCCCGAGCTTTTTTAGCTAGCCAATCTGCTCTAGCATTAAGATTACGGGGAATAAATCTGATACTAAAGGAAGGGAAAAAACAAGTGAGAGACCGAAAAGAGGCCAGTTCTGCAGCAAAGGATGGCCAATCTTCTTGGTTGTCGAGGAGAGATACCAATTCAGAGCAATCAGAAGCAAAGGCGCTAGCAGTAATGCCTAACGAGGTCAAACATTCCATTGCCCAAAGCAAGGAGTCCAATTCTGCATGGAGCGGCGAGAGACTTCTTCGCGAACTCTTGAGACAAATGTGTGAGATGATGTCCGAGTCAATCAAGACCCAACCATGTCCACTTAGGCTATCCTCCAAATGTCAGGAAGCGTCTAGCTGGCATTCTGATAAACGGGGGGATAACGCAAGGTTTAGTGCCGGCCGAACGGGAATATCGGGATCTACTTCATCTTTCGAAAGTGCTTTCTTCCAAACTGAGGCTTCTCTCAGTGCTAAGTCCAAAGTCTCCAAAGGGGGTTCTTTGACATTCTCAAAGATGAAACGATTACGGCTTTTCCATATATACCAGAATATCCATGGAAAGAGTTCTAACACATCCTCTTCTATTCCAAAATCGCGACCTCTCCAGAAGAGAAAATCAAAATTATAGAATAGGGAATTTCTCGGGAAGATGTGCCCGGATGAGGGAATTGGTGATAAGGCCCATATTTGTCTCGAAGGCGGACATTCAAAAAGTAGGTGGTTAATAGATTCCTCAGCAGCTATATTCTACATTGAAATTTATTTTATGATAATTCTATATTCTTACTTAAATCATTCACCTCCTATATATAAGACTTCATTTCTTTATTTGCAACGTACCAAAAAAAAAAGGCAACTCCTCTCCCTACCTTCACGTAACAATCCCACTAAACCAAATGGCCATTACTCCATTGAAAGAGCTTGAAATAGGTCGCCAATTTCAGTCTATATGTGGTCGACTCCTACGCAAATGGCAAGCTAAATCTTTCCATCAAAATGTGAAATTTTTTAGCCTAGACTTTCTGCTACTAGACCAACAGGTACAATCTTTTAATAATTTAGAATACTTTTACATGTCTATCTAATAAAAATTAATGTTGCAGTCTACTTTAATCCAAGTAACTATACCCCAATACCGAGCTTATCGCTTCAGAGATGATCTTCATGAGGGAAAAGTTTACAATATATCAGAATTCCAAGTGGATGCTAGCTACGGAAAATACAAACTAACGGATCATCTCCATGTCATTAAATTCTTAGATGGCACCATCATTAACCCTATTGAAGAAACGAGTCCTCCAATTCCTAATGAGATGTTTAGGTTTCGACAATATAACGAATTATGGACTCTCGCCGGAACAAACCATCACTTACCTGGTAAAGTTTTGGTTACTCTATTTTTACAAGACCCATTTCTTATCAATAAATTCCACATCTTATAATTTGCAGATGTTGTTGGAGAATTAACAAAGATTCAAGGATTCAATCTAGAGGACCTATCATGCGATGAAAAAATAACTGTATACCTTTTTTGGCTGAGCAAGCAGAAATTTACTTTTAAAACATGTATGATTTACTTTATTTATTTTTCCACTAATTTTTTTTTAATTTGGACATTTTCATAGTGGGAAAAATGTTCGTGTCATGGTTTGGGATGCTTCTAATCATAACTGCTGTCAACCCAAAATCATATGGAGGTACATGAATGTTGCATTATTGTTTTAACGTTTAGTATTTTGCTTGCAGTTGACTCTCCCTATTGACATCTATTTTGAATTATGTTTGGTATAATATTTATTTTCAATTAAACTTAAAATATAACACATTTAATCATATACATTAATCTATACTTTAAATCTACACTTTACTACTCAATTTTAACTGAAATTACATAATTGTGAATTGACTACTTTTTTCTCTATTCATTGTCATTTAAATACACTATAATTATAATTGTAACTCCGATAATCTAATTCGTTTAGAAATGTAACTTCCATCACTTATTTTCCTATAAATAACCATTCTCACATCCTCCTCCTCCATATCTCAAATCCTAAATATTCTCTTTGTTTTGTTTATGTTCTTGCATGAGTTGAAAACTCAATTAAGATATCATTGTAAGAGTTTGATTATATAATTTTTTAAATATATATCTTACATTCTTTTCAATTGTATTTCTTCTTTGTTTTTATGTATTTCTTCCTTCTTTTTTTGTTTTTTAATAATATTTTTAATTTAAAATTACATATGTATATTATAATTTTGATGGCTATAGTAAAATTATATTCCGACCATAGCGCAATAAGGGAAACAAGGTAAAGTAACTATCTTCATTTTTTTTAACTTTGAATGTTTGATTATTTCTTACATATTCATGTATATTTATTTTATTTTTAAAAGTACGTATTGTTTTAACGAAATAATTTTTTGTAATACAATTATCAAATTAATTTTTCTTAACTCTCTCTTACCTCCAAAAAAATTGTAATTTTTATAATACAATTTTTTAATATACCCATCATTATATTTAGTTTTATTGATTCACCATATAATAATGTAAATATCATTAAAAATTTTATTTAATTCAAATTTCGTAGTGTAAGGATTTTTCTATATATATAAACAAAAAATTGATATTCCATTTCCAATTAGCTTGTACTATAAAGATGAAATCATTTAATACATAATGATTTCTTCACAATGAATTCTTTGGAATGTAACATAAAATTTTATGATATAAATACAATTAAATTACTCATAAATGACATTCAAACATGATTGTAAAAGTTTTATAGTATCAAAAACAAAACATGATTGTGGAAGTTAAATAGTTATCTAACGTAAATATGCTTTTATTACAAAAAAATCCCTATAAATATTAACACACACATCTCACAAACCATCATATTCCAAGTTTTCTATTATCGGTAAATTGTATAACATTTAATCTTCTAATTCAACAAATGGTGTTTCAATATATATATTTTTGTCACTTTTGTAAGAGATTGTGAAGAGGAGGTGACATGAAAACAAGAAATTCTACGTACGGTCAATCGTTTGTGCTACTTTAGATGTCTTTAAAAAAAAAGAGTAGAGAAGATGCATTATTGTAGGTTTTCTTTGCCGAAAACATTCATTACATTCAATTTATATTAACCTAAATTTGGGTAGACTCAAATAAATTTGATATTCTTGCACAAAGATTAAGAAGAAAATCAAGAAGACAAAAGACGAGAAGAAGGAGAAGACTACTATATACAATGAATGTCATTTTTCAGATGGTTCTCTTTTAGTAGTTGAAATTTAGTAATGCTTTGGAAAAAGGTAAGTAAAACATATATTGAACCAAGTTGTAATCTCAAAAATATTAAGTGAAAATCTTAAGTCTATATATTGAGCTATTAACTATCTCATTCATCTATTATTTTTATATATGCTTTATTATTGTTGTATTGCTTACAAAATATATTTCATTTATTTGTTTTACATAAAGAAAAAAAATATGCAATAACCCACGCGTCGCGTGGGCAAACATCTAGTTATATAAAAAACATAGATAGAAACTTAATTATATAGTCTTTTATGGTCATATAGTGTAGATACCCTTGATCTTATCTATAATATGATTCCAAATCATTGTCAAAACATTTTAGCCAATAAAGACGTTGAGTACACACACCTTTTACATCAATTGGGTAATATATATCTGTTTTACAAAATTTGAATCACAATATATGAAGAAAAAATAATTGAGATTTTTAAAATTTATGTATTATATGATGATTTAAAATAGTTTTAAAAAAAAAGTTCAAATAAAGATGATAGGAGAATCGTATTTTAAATCTTAACCAAATCTTCTAAATATCTATATTTTTAAATATGGAAAATCCGATTCACAATTTTGGATATGTTTTGATCCGATCCAAAGAAAAATATGGAATATCTGGTGTAAGATTTTGAAGTAAATTTTGTATCGGGTCGGATACAAAAAATTTTAGATAAATTTTTAACCCACCCAGTACAAAATGTACTTCAAAATACTAGTAAAGATTGTATGTACTTTATATTTTTTATAATTATAGTTTATATTTATTTGGTCTTTTTAATTTAACTGATGTTGCATCCGATGGTTAGCTAGTCATAAAACTCCAAAAATGCACCAATTTCTAACCGCTAAACCAGTCGTTCAAAACGCTTAATAACACTTGAAACTACAACCACCCGCTTCTGCAAACTCCCGCAATCGCAACCACCCCCGCTACATTTAAACTAGTTAAGCACTTAGAATCAGTTCAGAATTTATGATTATTCGGTTTGATTTAAGAACCATATTTTTTGGTTCGAAATCTGTTTGTTTCAGGTTTAAGGTTTTATAACTAGGTCTACAGCTAATACCTTCCATTTTTCGAGAGTAAAGGACAAAATTTTCCGCTGGCAGAGGGTTAGGAAGAAACTCTCTGATGCGAGTATGGGTCTGGACGACGGCGAATTCTAAAGGCGTTAATTGAATAGTTTTATAAAGGTAAAACCATTATTTCAATGAGTGTGCATCTATATTGACCTATATTATACATACAAAAATATATCACTGACCATTATGGTTTTCATGTTTTTTTTTTTTTTTTTTTTGTCAAACAAAGATCTTCATTCAATAAAACCTCAAAAGAGGGAAGTTCATACACAATGAAACTAGGATAATACAGGGAAATAAAGATAGAAGCTTCATGAGTTTTCCAATGATTGAAAAATCTGTTGAGGCCTTAGCGGATTCGACCATGAAGGCGGGCTTCGCGAAATCCTCGACCACCTTGTGGTCATAAGTGGCTCTTGCAAACAATGCATCCGAGCTTTTGGAAAGGTGCTCCGCGGAGGAGGCTGACGGGTTAACGAGGTTGAAAAAGAGACGGTAACCACCTCTTGAAGACATGGTCATAATGCCGTACTTTTCCAACCTACCAGAAGATTGCAAATTATCCAAGCAATAGATTAACACATGACTGAACTCGATAATTGGTGAATGGGTAGGTAGAGAGTTGAAAAAGCTTCGGTAACACCTACTCCGTAGAGACAGGGTCATAATACCGGTCTTCTTAACTCTAAAGGCCAATTGCCTATGGTTGGGTAAGAGAGTCTCGGATAGAGTCCAAAGTAAACTTAGCATCTGATCTCGACAAAGGTAACTATCAATCCAGCCTAAACAAACCATTACTCTGTTAGCGTGGCGTCCATTACCAGCCAAGACAGAGTTAGAGGGTGCTAAAGGGAGGGAACTTGATAGGAAATTAATAATACTTGGCACGGGCAGCAACACTCTAGGACACTTCCAAAGAGAAATTAACTCCAAACGATTCAAGACCAGACTCAAACAATGAAGCAAACGGACCAAACGAGATAAACTATCGATGGTGATTGGATGGTGCTTGAAATTGTTAGATAGGATTGTCATAGAGTGAAACTTAGTCACAGATATTCCATGACTGCCTTCAAAACTCCGACAAATTGAGATTGGGAACAAAAAACCATAAGACTTCAAGCTTTTGGAATCATAGATCATAGCCATAGTTGAAGCAAAAACCAGGATTCTCTGAGAGTGATTGTTAATCCAAAGCAACGAAGGTGGTGAATTAAGCTTCATATGGCGTCCTTGACCATTGAAAACGTGAAGTCGACACAGACCTTGCTTAACGATTGACAAAATAAATAAAGTAGCAGACCTGGGTTTAATAGAAGTGGGCTTGGGCTTCATAATTGGTGTTGGGCCGAAATTGGGGACAAGGCCCACCAGACGAAACCCTAATCTTGCAACTGCATTGCAAGGGAGAAAGCAGATGCGGCGGCTGACCGGAAATGAAAGAGAGATCTGCGATGAAGAAAGCATCTCCGGCGATTGATTATTCGGCGATACCGGGCAATGACCGTGGTCCGCAGCAGAGGCAAAGAGACATGAAGACAAAGCTTTTCTAGGAGGAAGAGCCGTTGCCCTGAAGAAGAAATCGCCGTGCACCGTCGACGTCTCCATCGGGCATGGCGCATCTGATGGTCCAAGAGAGAGATCTCTTGCCATCAACGAAGCCCAAGTGGAGGTTTCTTCAGGGGGGAACAGAAATCCAGATCGAGAGGAGAGCATAGCGATGGTCTTTGGATCCGCCAACAATGTTGCAGCGAGTATAGAGAGGAAGAGAGTGATTGCCAGAAACCATCTCCGTCTTTTGTCGCTGGATAAAGAGTAGCCGTCGGGGATCAAAGGGTTCAAAAGAGTTCGAAAAGGTTGAAAAAGGTTGAAAAAAGTTAAAAATATTGGGGAAAAAGTTCGAAGGAGGTGCCCACACGATAAAAACAAAACGTTGCGTTTTGGTAAGGAGGCGAAAAATAGGCGACTAGGGTTTGTGATTTCGTTTCAACTAAGGTAGCTCACCGGCGCCGCCAGGCAGCTCCGGAGGGCAGAGATGAGTAAGACGGAAGGATCTACGGATCTCTCTGGCACACAGGAGGTGGGTTCATGGGTTTCGGTGGTTCAAAACAAGCAAACTCTCAAAAAATACGATCTAAACATTTCAACTTCGGAGGGGCAAAGTTCCGTGGAGATTCTGATGAGGTTTTTGAAAACGTTACACCGCTCTGGGAGGATTTTCTGATAGGGAAGTTCCTAGATACGGCACCACATGTGGCTAAGGTTCATGTCATCGTTAACAAAATTTGGAAACAGGGGTTCGATGCGCAAAAAATTGACGTGTACGAAGTCAATTCCACAACTCTGAGATTCCGGGATAGCAATCCTTTGATTCGTGCAAGGGTTCTCAAAAGAGGAATGTGGAATATTGCTGAGGTACCAATGGTGGTCACTAAGTGGACTCCTAATGCGGAGAAGGAGCAACAGGAGGAGAAATCTGTTCCACTATGGTTTTTTTTTTAAAAATGTTCCGATGAATATGTATTCTTGGGAGGGATTGAGTTTCATTACAAGCGCAGCAGGTCATCCGGTGCGTCTACACCCAGAAAACAGCTGCGTGCTCACGTTTTGATGTTGCAAAAAATTTTGTCAACGCTGATCTGTCCAAAGAATTACCAAAAAGATCAAATTCACAAAGAATGGCAAGGAATTTTGGGTGGATTTTGTCTATCCTTGGTTGCCTCCGAGGTGTTCTATCTGTGAAAAAATGGGGACATCTTGATTCAAGATGTGTTGCCAATAAAAAATATTCAGCCGTAGGTTCTGAAATGAAGTGGGTGGAGAAATCTAAAGTTACTAAAGATGCAGTGGTACAGACTAGTACGCTGGAAACAGTTACCACTTCAGACAAAGTAAATGAAAATGCACCGGAGACTGACCAGACAAGTTCAGAAAAGATGGATGATGTAGGAGAGTGTCACAGGTATCTCTTTCAAAAACAAGTCGCAGCCCGAGTAAAGCAGTAACAGAGGCGCCAATTCTTGTTTCAGCATCAAAATTTTCTGTCCTCTGTACTGAAGAGGAGGAGGAGGGAGAACTTCAAGAAACAGAGGAAAAGAATGATGATGATGATGATGAGGATGGTGCTAAGGTAGAAGATGGACAAGCTACAGCTCATAGTGAATCTCAAGAGACAAAGGCAAATGATGAGGGAAATGGTAGGGGGGAAACCACCTGTCACGCGTAACACCTCAAAGAAGATGAAGACTATTTCGGAGACCTCAAACCAGGTAACTAAGGACGTTGTTCCAGTGGTTGCGGGAAGGAGGTCCAACCGAAAAGCCCTCTAATGTCGAGTTTTTCATGGAATGTGCGCGGATTTAATAAAACTACTAAACATTCCGTGGGTCCATCATTGGACAAACAACAGTGAGGTGCAGTTTGGTTGCTTATTAGAGACGAGAGTCAAGGAAAAGAAGGCAAATCGTATTGTATCTCAAGTATTTAACGGTTGGTCATTTATGGCTAACTACGAGTTTAATAGGCTTGGTCGTATTTGGATTCTTTGGAGATCAACAGTGCGGTTAACTCCAATTTTCAAGAGTGACCAGCTAATTACATGTTCAGTGTAATGGAAGGGGAGGAGGAGGAATTTTTCTGCTCTTTCATTTATGCAAAAAATTTGGCTGAGGAAAGGAGAAGTTATGGGAAGATCTGAGAGAAATCATCAAGACTCTCAGTTGTTCAGAAACAAACGTTGGATGCTGATGGGTGATTTTAATGAAATATTGGATATTGAAGAACACTCAAACTTTGAACACTCTCCAAATATTCCACAAGGTATGAGAGATTTTCAAGAGGCGGTAAGACATTGTTCACTAATGGATATTGGTTCACATGGTCCATTATTCACTTGGTGTAACAAACGAGACGAGGGGGTAATTTGCAAAAAACTCGATCGGGTACTGATAAATCGTGCTATGCTCAACCATTATTCACAAGCGTACTATGTATATGAACCAGGGGGCTGCTCTGATCATCTACGGAGTAGAATTCAGATTCAAAGGGAGAAAGTGGCTAAAAGGAAGCCTTTCAAGTTTACAAATTCCATTGCGACAATGCCCGAATTCCTACCTCTACTCCAATCCTATTGGCAAGACACACCTACCCTGTTTCACTCTACTTCAGCAATGTTTCGTTTTTCAAAGAAACTTAAGAATCTGAAACCTCAACTCAGAAACTTAAGTCGAGAAAAACTGGGGAATTTGCAGAAAAGAGTAACAGTGGCGTTCAAAGATCTGTGTGAGAAACAAAAGGAGACTCTGCTACGACCTACAGATACAGCATCAAAGGAAGAAACAGAGGCATATCATAAGTGGAATCATCTGGCAGAATTGGAAGAGAAATTTCTAAAGCAAAGATCGAAACTCCACTTGCTTGATGTTGGCGACCAGAATAACAAAGTTTTTCATAATGCAGTGAAGTTGAGAGTGTCGAAAAATTCTATCAGGGAGATACAACTCCCGGACGGATCAATAGTCTCTAGCCAAGAGGAAATAAAACATGAAGCAGAGCGGTTTTTCTCAGAATTCTTAGGCCATGTACCTACAGAGTTCGAAGGATTGCCTGCTGATATCCTTGAAGTTAATACCTTTCAAATGTACATATGCTCATCAATGTATGCTTGAAAAAGAGGTCACAACAGAGGAAATACGGCAGGTGCTTTTTGCGATGCCTGCGAACAAAGCCCCGGGACCGGATGGCTTTACTTGTGAATTTTTCAAATCAGCATGGTCAGTTGTCGGTGACGATTTCACAACTGC